TAAAGGGAACCTGAGAATTGTGAACAGACTCCCCCCAGGTCTAACCATCTTTTGGCAGACGCATTCAACAGAACAAAATATGTGGTGCATTTAGGATGTCAGTCCTCTTGTGCATGCTGCCACTGTTAAGGTCATCAGACTCACAGTGACTTTCAGCAGTCCATTGCATAGGTAATCATCTTCTTTGGCCTGTCGAATGCATAGGTAATCGTCTTCTTTGGCCTGTCCAAGGAAACCCAAACCTGCAGATGGCAGGCATGCATCCCATCCCCCACCTCCTACGCAGGCGGCCGTTGGGGGCGCACCCCCACCCCCACCCCGCTGCGTGGGTGCGTGGCCCCTCTTGTGCGGGCGCCCACTTCCCCCACAGCCACCATCCTGGCTCCAAGAATTCTCTCCAGACCAAGTCCACCTTGCAGCAGTGTGGTGGCTTCACTGTACCAGTCTTGAGGAGGGCCAGTGCCCAGCATCCATCCTGGGTGAGGGAATCCATTCGTTCTAGCTGTGGAAGCCTCATGGATCTGCAGTGGCTGTGCAGCGCAGTGCGGGCTCAGGCGGGGGGGCATTGGGAGTAACAAGACTCACCCATTTCTCCTTGGGAATCCTTGAGTTCCTGTTGTTGAGCCTCGATCTTCACTGAGGGCCAGCCATCAACTGTTTAAGTGTTCAATTATCAATAAGCCCAAGTCTGTGGAAGGCCATAATGGCCCTGCTTTTAAGTGGTTCGCTGCTCCCGCAGTTCACCACACTGTCTTTGCCTCTGCCACCATCTTGGATCTCCCAGTTCACTTTTTTATTTATTTCTTTTTTAATATTCTTTCGTTGTTGCACAGTTACCTCCCTTCTCCTCTCCCCCAGTCCTCTTCTCAATTATTCTGGGCTGTTGTCGTATGTATAATGCCTAATCATATATTCTTTTTAGACAGTTCTTTCATATGTTCTAATGCAATAGTCATTGTTTATCCACTCTTATCATATTCTCCTCCCAACCCCCCATGTCAGAGCTTCTTTGTAACAGTGGTGCTGTGCAGTATTTGTCCTTTAGTGACTGAGATACTTCACTCAGCATGATGTGCTCCAGGGTCCCTCGTGTAATCTTTTACGAGTCCATTGTTTTTTTAGTACTTAGTAGTAGTCCATTGTATAAATATACTATAGTTTTTCTTTCCATTTGTTAATGAGTACTTGTGTTGCTTCCATCTCTTTGCTATTGTAAATAATGTAGAAATTTAAAAAAAAAAAAGAAAATGAATTGAAGTACTGTGTTTGAATTGAGGGGGGAACCAAAGAAAAATAAAATAAGAAATCTACATTTTTTACCTATAGAAAATTGGATTTAAAGATACATAATATATTCATCTGGAAGCAGGAGCAGCATCCACTTCTGTAATGGCTTGCCTCCGGAAACTCTATGTATGAACAGTGCTCAGGCCGTTCGTTCATAGGGTCACTATGAGTCGTCTCCGACTCGACGGCATCAAACAACAACAATAACAATATATTCATACTATAGAATAGTATACAGCCAACTATGGGATAAGTTTTTTTAAAAAACCACCTTTCTATAGAATAATTTAGACAAAGAAGTTGTCACTTTTTGGCTAAAACAAATAAAAGAAGGAAATAAATAATTAAAAACCTATGAGATACAGCGCTGAAAGCAAAGAAGGAAGCCCCTGCCCCTCCCAAAACTGAAGCCAAAGCAAAGGCATTAAAAGCCAAAAGACAGTCTTTTAAAGCTTTTAAAATCCTAGTTTTTCAGAGTAAAGCTTTATCATGTATGGGTTTCAGGTATCTTGTGAGTCTCTAGAAAAAATATATAGACCATGTTCCTATAGTTGTAGTCAAATTGTCAAATTTCATGTAAGTGTCACCACCTGGGATTCATCCATTGGCAGCTGGCTTACTGCACTCAGCATTTGTCATTAAGACTCTTCGATCTCTGCTGTAGCATATATCAGATATTCATTCTTTTTATGGCTGAGTAATATTCCATTGTATGTACATTTTGGTTTTCTATTAGTAGACACTTTGGTTGTTCCCACATTTTGGCTGTCATGAAAAGTGTTGCATTGAACATTGGTTTAAAGGTTTCCATTTGCATTCCTGCTTTAATTTTGGGGCATTATACTGGGATTGCTAGGCAATATGTTAGGTCTATATTCAGCTTTTTTAAGAACTGGCAAACTTTTTCTCAGTTTGCATTAGTAAAGGAGGAGAATTCCAATTTCCGCACAAGCTCACCAGCATGTTTTCAGAGTTTTTTGGGTCATTGCCAGTCTTGTGGGGTGAACTGGTGTCTCGTTGTAATTTTGATTTTTTCATCTCTCTGATGGCTATTGATATTGAGCATCCTTTCACATGCTTGTTATACATTTAAAGAACTCCTTTAGTGAACTGTCTATTCAAGTTTTTTACCATTTTTCACTTGAGTTAGTCGTCTTTTCGTTTTTGTAGTGGAAATATATATTTATGTCCTAGCGAGCTCTGATGACCTAATGGCAAGAAGCTGCACTGCAGTCTTGAAGGCACTCAGTTCTAATCCACCAGATGCTCTGCTGGAAAAGGAGGGGCAATCTCCTCCTGTGCCAGTCTGGCCCAATTCTACGGTACACAAGAAAAAAAAAGGGGGAGAGGGGCTCTGGTGTCTTTGTGGTAAGAAGCTGTACTGTGAGCCCCAAAGCACTCAATTTGAATTCACCAGCCTCTCCATTTGTAAAAGATGGACAGTCTCCTCCCATGCGGTTTACAGCCTCTGAAAACCTGAGGGAAGATCACCTATGAGTTAGTTCCACCTCGATGGTTCACAGCGACATGCTTCTGTCACATACTCTGGGTATGAGGCCCTTAGAGGATATATGATTCCCATTTTCTCCTGGTCTTTGGATTATCTTTTCTCTCTTTTTTTGAAAAGCCTTTTGAAGAATAAAAGTATTTCCCTTTTTTGAGTTCTATTTGATCCTTTTATGAGAAATGAACATTTTGTTCTACTACTTCTCCACCCCTTGTCATTTTCCAAAAACAAATACAATTATCCTTCTTCCCCATAGCCTATCATATCTGGTATTACCAAATACTGAGCTTGTCTCATTTAATTAGAAAGTCTTTAATCTTTAATAAAAACCTGTATTTCTGTTAAAATGAAAGAGTAAGATTTTTTTTTCTTTTTAAAGAACCCAATTTTTTTCCCCTTTGGATTCAAGACAAAAAGTGACAACAGCCAGCAGACCCACCAGACTCACTAGCCACTGCACCACTCCACAGCGCTAACGCCTGCCTTTGGTTTTCTAAGGGGAGTTTCCTGTCCCAGAAAATTTTCTTTGTCATGTACTCAAGTATATCAGAAATGGTAAGGATGGTGCAGGGTAGCGCTGGGGCGTTATGAGTCACAGTTGACTGCTCGGCAATCCTAAGAATTGCTGATGAGGAGGGGTGATGAGAAATGGCCACTGAGGAGATAGTGCCTGGCCTGAGCTCTGTGCAGGACACCTTCTCAGCACTCACAGGAGCTGCAGCCTTCCATCAGCATTGGATGTCCGTACTGCAGACAGAATTCTGTGGGAAGTGCCTTTTTAAATCGATATTCTTCTTGAAATTGAGCCTAATTCTTTGGCATTGGGAAAAGTACACTCAGAATGTTGTTGTTGTTATTATTGTTGTTGCTGTTATGTGCCATTGAGTCATAGACGACTCATAACAATCTATGAACGAAAGACCTGAGCACTGTTCATAGAGTTTCTGGAGGCAAGCCATTTCGGAAGTGTATGCCGCTCCTGCTTCAAAGCTGGTTTTAGGAGGTTAATGAAAAGGACTAGTGAAGAAAACCTCTGTTTAGTATCCCAGTAATCAAGCAGGAGGAAGTCAAGAGAGAACCTCTTATCTAACTGTGTAGCATGTATATTATATTGACTAAGTGATGTAGTTAGGCTGCCACTCATTGTAGTATTTTCTTTCAGGCTCCCTCAAGTGGCACCCCTGGTGACTTGAGCACTGAGGAGAGAACCTCCACTTCACTGTCTTGCTCGTCACCCACACTTGCATCTTAGCCACACCAAACTATTTGTAGTTTCTTTGACTTTCTATTCAGTCTCTGAAACCTTTCTAGTCCTCACAACTAATTAGCTACTCTTTCTTACTTTGCATACTATAAATAAAGCACATCTATATACGGGTTTTTGTTGGGTTGAGGTTTTTTTTTTCATGTCTTATCCCCTTATAGACATATGTGCCTTGATAGCCCTAGCTATGGTTATTATTTGTTAAGTATGTGTATGCATGTGGTTTTTGTTGCAGTTCTCATTAGTAGGTGTCATCAGGTTAACTGTGGCCCAGAATAACCCTATGAACAACATACCTGAACCTCGCCCTCTCCTGCACCATCCTCAGCATCTCTGGCTGTGCTGCCTCCAAGACAGACTTGTTTGTTCTTTTAGCAGTCCAGAATAGACTAGCTCACACATATACACATGTGTGTGTATAATATATCATTTATATTCTGATACATATGTATGTATAATGTCACCCGGTACCATTGTTCAGGTTGCAGTCTCCCCTGGAGACTTGGGTTCAAATCCACTCCTGATCCAACAACTTCTGCCACAGTGGGTTAAGCATGGAGCTCTAGACCATAAAATTGGCAGTTAATAGCAGCCATTTTGCATGAGAAGCATGAGGCAGTATTCTCCTGGAGAATTACAGAAGCCTCACAGAGCGGTTTCACTCTGTCCATTAGGGTTCTTTCTAGTTGGGTAGTCCATAGCAAACTGTGCTGCTAACCCAAAGGCTGAGCGTCGCCAGAGGTTTGAATCCAGTGGCGGCTCTGCAGGAGAAAGCTGGGCGGTCTCCTGTTGCGGTTTACAGCCTCGGTGGCTGTGAGTCCGCGTATAGGGTTAGATGAGTCAGAGTTGACTGCACAAGCAGTGAGGATCTTTTCTGATAGTTTTATTTGACTGCCTTGCACTCTGAGTTTGATTACAAGAAAACAAAATTATTTTATATTTGGGAATGACTTCTTAAAAAATTCTTTAAAGGTAATTCTTGACCTTGAAGAAGAAAGGCAGAGGCATGCACAGGACACAGCTGAAGGAGACGACGTCACCTACATGCTGGAGAAGGAGAGAGAGCGACTGACTCAGCAGGTATGGAAGGGACAGTGGTCTCAAGCCAGTTCCTCAGAGATTATTCCGTAAGATGGACACTGCATCACTCAAGTCATTGGGGTCAGATAAGCTTGGGAACTACTGAATTGAATAAGGTTAAGCAGGATTTTACCTGGATTTATCAGAACCTTTAGTACACAGAACACCATATGTCTTCAAAATCAAGTGTGGTGTTTGACAAATCCATGTTTTCATAAAATCTTTTTTTAATAGATAACTTATTGTAGGACTAATGTTTCATAGAATACACTTTGAAGAATACTTACTCAGAGCTAAAACTTTCCAACTTTTTTTTTATTGAGTGCTCTAAATTCTCCACCTACCTAAAGAATAATGTTGTATTATATTTCTACTCAAAACCCTTCAAGCAATAGAACTATAAGGACCTGGTTCACATTGTGTACTCTCTTGTGTTAAGTCTTCTAATGGTTCAGAAATGGTTTCCCTAAGCCCCATGGAGGTAAAGTCTGTGTACCAGAGACCAGCATAGACACTGTATTGATAAGATTTGTTCCAGTACATTTCTTTGTTTGCTTTCTCTAATCAAGATATTTGCAATGGTATTTTGTTTTTCTAGTTGGAATTTGAAAAGTCCCAAGTGAAAAAATTTGAAAAAGAGCAGAAGAAGCTCTCCAGCCAGCTGGAAGAGGAACGCTCCCGCCACAAGCAGCTCTCCTCCATGCTGGTGCTCGAATGCAAGAAAGCCACCAGCAAGGCCACCGAGGAGGGCCAGAAGGCAGGAGAGCTGAGCCTGAAGCTGGAGAAGGAGAAGAGCCGGGTGAGTAAGCTGGAGGAAGAGCTGGCAGCTGAGAGGAAGCGAGGCCTGCAGACAGAGGCCCAAGTGGAGAAGCAGTTGTCAGAGTTTGACATCGAAAGGGAACAACTGAGAGCGAAGTTGAACCGAGAAGAGAACCGGACCAAAACTCTGAAAGAAGAGATGGAAAGTTTGAAGAAGGTAGTGAAAGACCTAGAGGCTTCCCGCCAGCACAGTAGTCCTAATGAGCAGTCAAAGAAGCCATTGACCGTGTCCAAAGGCACAGCAACTGAACCTCCCATGCTAGTGTCCGTATTTTGCCAGACAGAGAGTTTTCAGGCAGACAGAGCCCACGGGAGCAACACAGGCCAGGTGGCAAGCACAGCACTCCCTACCACTCCTACTTACTCTTATGCAAAAACCAATGGCCATTGTGAGCCAGAGATACAAACGACAAGAGAGGTGACAGCAGGCAGCAGTGTAGAAAACCAGGTGCCACCACGAGAGAAATCTGTGGGAGTGACCCAAGAAAAAGCAGTGGAGAATGGTGCATGTCCCGTGGGAATCGAGTCTCCAGTCTCAGTGTCCAGTCACCTCCCTTCTAGTGGGAGCTCACTGTCTCCCAGCAGCACTGCCTCCTCCTCACTCACATCCTCCCCCTGCTCTTCACCAGTACTGACTAAGCGCTTGTTAGGGTCGTCAGCTAGCAGCCCTGGCTACCAGTCCTCCTACCAGGTAGGGATCAACCAGCGTTTCCATGCAGCTCGACACAAGTTTCAGTCACAAGCGGATCAGGACCAACAAGCAAGTGGTCTGCAAAGCCCTCCATCCAGGGATCTGTCCCCTACCCTCATGGACAACTCTGCTGCCAAACAGCTGGCCCGAAACACAGTCACTCAGGTGCTTTCCAGATTCACCAGCCAGCAAGGGCCGATCAAGCCCGTGTCTCCCAATAGCTCTCCTTTTGGCACAGACTATCGAAATCTAGCCAATACTGCCAACCCCAGAGGCGACCCCAGCCATTCGCCTACTCCAGGGAAAGTGTCCAGTCCTCTGAGCCCCCTCTCCCCTGGGATCAAGTCTCCCACCATCCCCAGAGCCGAGAGAGGGACTCCTCCACCCATCCCACCCAAAAAGCCTGGCCTCACCCCATCTCCTTCCCCTACCACTCCGCTTACCAAGACCCATTCCCAGGCTTCCTCTTTGGCTGCCACAGAAGACCTTGCCAGCAGCTGTTCTTCCAGCGCCGTCGTGGCCAATGGCAAGGACGTTGAGATACTTTTGCCTACCAGCAGCTAGTCCCTAGAAGGGAATCTCCACATGTGACATTCCATCTGATTTCGGTGAAGAGCTCAAACTGTTAAGTCAGATCATGTTATTTATTTTGATAGTAGCTGAAACTGTCTGTACAGTCCATTTAGTGTATTTCACCTTTTTGTACTTTTTTTAAATGGAAACTGATTAGTTTGATTTTTACAACTCAGATCTTTATACTGCAGCTAGAAGGGCACCTCAGAGATGTGGCGCGCTCGGCAGTCACCACCGTGTTGTGATAGAGAAAGCTGATTGAGTGGTGATTTGCTGCCTATTTTGGGACTAGAATCACTCAACAACTTCCATTGTTAATTATGCAGAAGTAGTACAGACAGATTTTTATTCCAGATGAACATGTTTTAAAAGTGCCTGAAATAAGACTGCCACATGAATGTGATTCTGCAGCGAATACACGAAGTAAACCCTTTAACTGCCACAAAGGAGATCCTCGGTGAATTCCGAATGTTAAAACCAACACTGCTTTTAAGTCTCTTTTACTGTTTTTTAATACAGGCTTTGTGTTCTATAACAAGGCTACACAGGTAGAGTGGGGATCCTTCTAAAGGTGGGGGTGAACTCACCATGCAGCTGAGCTCCACAGCGCCCTTGAGAGCCCCCTGAGCATATCAAGTAGTTGAGGTGCTGACTTTGTTGTGCTTTGAAAAATTAACTCCCAGTTTTCTGCATAAATTCTTGAACAGAATGAAGTTACATCTCCATTTTTAAAAATATCTTCAGATGTCTACTGTTGAGTAAAGAACTTTGGATTCTGATTGCTATTACTTGAATAGAAAATGCTTACTCATTCTGTGTAAAGAGTTTACAACAGAGTGGGTTCTTTATTCTGTAATCAAAAAGCAATAACTTAAAATTCACTCACTTTGTAATATTGTAAGTCAGAATTATACAGGCTTTACCAAATTGCTACATTTATTCTTCATACTGCCAACACTTACTGTCTGTATCTGTGGAACCAAATTAATTTTTGCCTACATGGAAGTATACATAGATCGGTATAGATACACACCCCTTACATGTGTAACATACACACTCTTAAACAGATAAGTATTAGTGTGATGATATCTTTGGAGTTTTCTGTATAGCCTAAAGGACAAGTAGAAATGCACGCTAAGATTACCTATCAAAGTAGCCAGATGTGGCTGGGACCTAGTCTAGGAAGGACTCTTGTGCACAGGTTGGTTGTGAAATCCCAAATGAAAACAAGTTCTTCAGCATCATAAAAAGACAAAGCTAACCTAACCCCTAAAGTCATAGACTCATCTGGATAAGTCATAGAAATGTGTGGAAAAGATCATTCAAATGGTGTAAGACCATTAAGAGTAATGGGACCTGGTAGCAAACTACCCTGCTCAAGCCCCATTCAAGAGGCATAGCCACTGTTCAGACAAAAACTTGACCAGAACGCATAGCCTTGCTATACAGAATTAGACCATGGTTGCCAGCTCTTCATATTTTCATGATTTCCAACAATCCATAGACTATAATAACTGCCCCCCTACCAAACAAGACTGTCCACAACAAGCTCAGATCTGGGAGTTATGTTTTTTTATTGGCTTTGTTAGCTTCACATATGTTCCCCTAGCCACCTTCTGTCCAGATTTGGTATAAATTAAAATCTGTTCCCTCAGGGAGCTCTGATGGCCTAGTGGCAAGAAGCTGTGCTGCAAGCCCAAAGGCATGCACTTCGAGGCCACCAGCCTCTCTGCAGGAGAAGGATGGGCAAGCTCCTCCCGTGTGATTAACTGCCTCTGAAAACCCACTGGAGGGTCAGCTCTGGGTCACTTCTGACTCAACGGTACACAACAACTATAACAACATTCCCTCATAATCCAGTAAATAGATGGGGTAGCAATTGCTGTCTAATTCACAGTGGAGTATATTGGTGTGTAAATTCAGTCTGAGACAAAACATCAAAAATAAATTCTGCAAATGCTCAAGGACGTCTATCAGAATGATGAAGGGGATATCGTAATCTGTCAAAAACAGTTATGAATTAAACTTTATTTCTAGGCATAGCCAAAATGAACAGTGTTTGTGATAAAACAGCTGAACTGGAAAGGTCCCAGTGTGTAATTACCTCTCTTGCTTTAACTGGTAATCTTAAAAAGTTGCATTATGCTCTTCCTTTGTTTTGGCATAGATATATAAATAAATATAAAAATATATATACTAGAAAGAGATACTATAAGGAAGTTTATTTCTTAGAAAGTGCACTGAATAATGTATTTCTTTTACAGTGTAATATGGGGGTGGGGAAATACAAAAGAAATGTGTATTTTTGCTAGTTGACTATCTTCTGAGATAAATAAGCACAATACTGCAATGGATCTAACTAATCTAGTTAGATATAGATTAGTATTTAAGTTTGCTGTAGATTGTGTGTGCTAAGTAAAAGTTTCTTCATTCACATTTTGATATTAACCCCATGATTCGAAAACTGTTACTGATCAACAGATGATAATGATGTGCAACACGTAACTTGAGCGGTAACTCATTAGCATTATTTTATGTTTGCTTGTGTTTTATTGACCATAAACAACAAATTATAGATAATACTTAGAAGAATGGAAACCTCAAAACCCTTTCTTGTGCTCCTCAGACACCCATACATATACCACAAAGCAGCTGTTCAAAGAGAACCAGGGAACAGTGCCGTGGTTAAAGTCCAGAAAGGTGTGCATCGCTCTGTATGCTGAGCAAATGATTTGGAAAAATGCATCATGCAAAAATAAGGATAACCATCAAGGACAGGTACTGACATAGTAACTGTAACAATGGGCCCAAACGTGGCCATCATGAGGGTGTTGCGGTAAAGCACGGTTCTGATTTGTTATGTCACTGTTGTTGCCTCTACCTGGTTGAAGTTCTTCCAAAATAGACCTATTTGTTCATTTGACAGACTATAGTACATACAGTACTCTTAGCACCACAATTCAAAGGCATCAATTCTTCCTTAGTTTTCCTTATCCATTGTCCAACTTTTAGATGCATATGAAGCAATTGAAATACGTATTGACTGTGAATCCAAATAAAATGAAATTGTTGACAATTTGATCTTTTTTTTCCCATTTATCATGACATTGCCTAGTGGTCCAGCAGGGAGGATTTTTGTTTCATTGATGGTGAGATGTGATCCATATTGAAGACTGTAGTCTTTGATCTTCTGCAGCAAATGTCTGAAGCAAGGTTGTGTCATCTGCATAATGTAGGTTGTTGGTGAACCTCCTCCAATCCTGATGCCACAGTCTTCTTCCCTGAGTCCAATTTCTCAAGCTCTTTGCTCAGCGTGCAGATATGGGGTGAAGACACAGGCCCTGACACACAACCTTACAGGCTCACCGGGGTGTGGTTTTGGAATGCTTTCTTTCATGGCACTTGAACATTCCCAGCTGATGGAAGGTCCGCTCACACACAGAGCAGGTGTAAGGTTTTGTTCCAGTGTGGATTCGCTGGTGCACATTGAGGTTCTTCCTGTGGCTGAAGCTTTTACCACACTCTGCACTCAAAACAGTCTCTCGTTTGTGTGGGTCCTTTTGTGGCCATGGAGGGTAGGCTCATTTTTGTGGTGGATCTCACACCTGAAAGGCTTCTCTCCCGCATGGATTCAAACATCTGAGGGCTGCAAAGGCCTCTCCCCTGGGTGGCTCCTCTGGTGGATTTGGAACTGTGTTTTAGAACTAAATTTTTTTTCTGACAAAATTTACAGTGAAACACTGTTTCTCGTGGATTCTGAGCTGGCACAGACTTGTCTGGTCCCACAGTCCTCCGAAGGTTAGGGTCTATTGGCTCAAGGATCTTTGGAGAATCCGTTTCATACGGTCCCACCAGTGCTAGGAATTGTCTTTTGTTCAAATGTGCAGCTTCTTCCTGAGACCTTCTCTGAGAACTGCCCGACTCAACCAGTTTTCCTCTTTGGGAACATTTCTGATTCTTCTGGGGGCTTTTCCTCTTACGTGGAGTAGAAACTTCTGTCTCCAAAACAAGTGGTACTTCAGCTTCCATGTATTTAAAGGAAGGGCCTGTTTCAGGACTCTTTCCATCATTGACCCTGGCAGAATCTCCAGGATTATTCTGAAGCGGAGGCTCCTGTGCATCACACGCTGTCACCCCTCTTCCGCCTTCCATTAAGTTGTCCTCCAGTTCAGACCTCTGATTCTCCAGCTCAGTGTTTACTGAAATCATCTCTTCCTTTTCTGCCATCAAGTTGTCTTCCTCAGATCTCTGATTCTCCGGCTCACTATTTGTTTGGGTTTCCACCAAGCTGTCTTCCAGGTCTCTCTCAGATCGCCTATTCTCTCACTATTTTCAAAAATTATCTCTTCTTGGACTTTGATCAAGTTGTCCTCCAAGTCTTCCTCAGATCCCAGAATCTCCAGCTCACTGCTTACAGAAATGGCCTCTGGAAGGTATTTCTGCCCCTTTAGTCCCTTCTCTGGCTGTATTTCACTCATACAGGCCTGGGGATCCCTGGACAAGATCCTCAGATCATCCATGTCCTCGGCCTCAGGTTCCTCTTGCATCAGAGCATCTGGGTTTCTACAAAGAAATTCTTTATCACCCATTTGGATTATGGCCCACGCCATATTGTGCTTGGGATTGCCCGGCATCTCCTTCAGCTCTTTGTAGCTCTGTACACCACTCTCCATAGTCAAGGTCAGGATGCCCTGTGGTGCAGAAACCAGGAAGTTGGCTCTCACAACCTTGTCTATGATCTGCTGCTTGATACTAAGGTCCAGGCCCAGCCACACACTGTTTCGGATCAAACCTGCTCCTTTTTCGCTCTAGGGCCACTCTCTTGTAGTCTGTGGAAGCACCAATCCAAGGCTATCAGTAGGTCTTCTATGGTGGCACAAGGACCTCAGGTCAATAACCTCACTTCATGGGGTATTCCCCATTATGACTGAGTTCTCCAAGAAGCCAGTAAGTAGCTTTAACATATCTGCAGGTGTTGTTTTGGGGTGTTTTTTTGCTAGTAAGGTTGCAGCTGGGTGCAGACATTGTGACAGCCTGTGCAGTGTCTCCTGCTCAAGACCTGGACCCACATCCTGACTGGCCTGTCCTGCATCCCCCTCCACTCACGGACCCACACCCCAGCTGGCCTGGCGGGTGTGCCCGTCTGTGACCATCCAGCAGCTGGAGACGGTTACCTCAGGAGACCGCTGGGGCCTGAGTTGTGCATGCAAATGCCTAACTCACTAACATTTGTAAAGCCAAATGTACCAAGCAGAAGCCATCATTCATTTTTATAACAAGACTACATTAAAATAAGTTAAATCATACTGTCTGGAGAAAAAGAAGTCTTATTTATACAAAGTGAATGTTTGCAGAGCAAGGCACATATTTCGGGAAGGAGCAGATGGTATCAATGCAGCATCTAGTCATGACTTTGAAAAATGAAACGAAGTCAAAGGCACATCTAGGTCAGAACCTAAAGGAGGCCGGGACATTGCTTTTCATTTTAGGGCTGAAAGAGCCTGCCTTAATAATTCTTCATTTTAATCTTTCCATTTTGGCATTCTAGAACTTTAGAAAATCTAAGAAAAGCTATAAGCTCTTTCCCTAGAAAAATGAATATACTTTTACGCAAGATTTGGTTGAGAATTTCCTTGGAACCAAGTCCCTGACTCCACCTCTGACTCATGTGCTCCAGCTTCAGAGCCTCTGATGATGTCCAGCACTCGGATTTTATAAACGAGTGATCAGTCCGTGGGCTCCTGGGCCAGTGCTGGTGCTGCTGCGCTGTTAGCAGATGCAAGCTGTAGCCAGACGAAAACACTTGAAAGTCCTTTGATGTACAAAAGATGTTCAAACAGTGGGGATGTTTGCATATCTTAAGTTTCCAGTGTCTAAGCCATTTAATGATCATTTCCACAAGCACTGGCTGCATCCTTTTTCCC